AATGACATCATCCCCCGTAATGACACCAACTTCCCCATAGTAACACTGTCCCCCCGGAATGACACCATCCACCCAATAATGACAACATCCCCCCATAGCACCAGCCACCCGATAATGACACCATCCCCCAATAATGACGCCATCCCCCCATAGCACCGGCCTCCCGGTAACTGCTCGTTGAGTGGGAACCTTTCTGAACAGCCGTGGCTTGTCAGTGCCAGAGGGTTCCTGAGAGACCGGTGGTTTCCAAACCGAATTGGAAACCCCAAGCGCAGCCCACGGCGCGAGGAAGATGCAGGGAGAGTCGTCACGCCTCCTGCCTCTCAACCACCACGCCTGGACTAGGTTCTGTTCTGTTCAGGCCCCGGGCTGGCTCCTCGGGGCTGAGGGTTTGCCTGGCAAGAGGAGGGTGCTTGCTTTTTCTTCCTTCCTTTCTTTCATTTTTTTTTTTTTTTTGTCATAGGGCACATATGCTTACTGGAGAGACACAGAGAGAGGGGACATGGGAAATCACCCCCTGGGGGAATGGCTATGCCACCACGTCCCTTCTCCTCCATTCTCTCAGGATTTTGGGCACACACGCACACATACCTGGTGTGATTTTCCAGCTGCTGGGTCCAGGACTCGAACCATAGAGTTGGCCATGTGGGATCTAGCACTTTAACCTCCACTCCACACGCCAACCTGAGGATGCTACTTCTTAAAAAGGCTGAAAACCATGTAATCTCTCCATTTTATAGGTAAGTAAACTGAGGCTTGGAGAGGGGATGCGACTTCCCCAAGGTCACGCTGCAGGAGGTGGCCCCATGCCTAAAATTCAGGCCCTCTAACTCCCTGGCAGGATTTCCTCCATTTCCCGGGGACCAGGGAACATGGCACCATCTTGGGCTGATACTTCCTGGCCTTGAGGTCAGGAGTGCCTGGCGGGTTGGGGGTAGATGCCTGGCATCTGTTCTGGCTGGGGATATTGGAGTTTTTCTCCAGGTCCGCCCCTGGAGGACGTGGGCAGCTGTGCCAGCACTGGCCAGCAGAGGGAGCACCAACCCGAGGCTTGGCCGCTCAAGGCCGGCCCAGTAGACCACAGGGGAGAAACTGGGCAAGGGGCGGTGAGCACTGTGCCGGGGGGAAGCCCTCTCAGGAGCTGCAGAGCCATCCCATGGACAGCCGCGGAGGGGCAGGCCCTGACCCTGGGCACGCGTGCAGAGGAGCTTTGTGGGCCGCCGGTGCAGGGCCTTCCTTGCACTCAGGGCATGTGTCCTGCCCTGGGCCTCACTGCCTCTGTCACAGCCTCTGCAGGCTCTCCAGGCTGGAGAGGGCAGGGAGAGGTGGGCACACTGACCCAGGTGGGCTCTGTCCACGTGGCGCAGGCCCCGAGCGCCTGGGCGAGCAGAGTTTGGGAAACTTCAGTGGAGCCAGGAGCTGGGGCACAGAGCACCCCTCCCCAGTTCCCGGTGGACGGATGAGCCAGGAGCGACGGAGTGGGAGGGTCTGGCCAGGGAGCAACGGGGGCCTTTCCTGAAGACAGCGTGCCCCCTAGAGATGGCAGGGGGCTCCTGAACCGCACGGCGCTGTCCGCTCAGCAGCCAGCCCCGGCCTCATGTCCTGTCGCCATGCCCAAGCCCAGCCACCAAATAGCAGCATGAGCCTGGGCCCTTTTTACAGCCCGCCAACCGAGGCTCGGGGGACAGCATCGCCCAGTCACGCAGCTGGGAGGCAGAACCCAGAGGGTCTCCCCAGAGCTGGCGCCCACGTCCAGCAGGCTGGGCTGCACCGGGCCGGTGTGGGCAGGTGACAGGCCATGGAGAGAAGCCCCTGCTGGACGCCTCCCCACCCCAGCCGACACCCCCGCCCCGGCCTCTCTTGTCCACTCCTGTTTCAGGGGGTGGGTTCTGGGAAAGCAGAGGACCGGGGCTGGGTGTGAGCGGCCCGGGCCTCAAGCCTCGGGGGGCATCCCCCAAGCCCGCAGACTATTGGGTAAAGAGCGTGCCCACCCCCAGAGCCACCATCTGTGCCAGGTGCTCTGAGCGGGGCACACGTGTCACCTCCTTATGTAGACCTGGCGGGTTGGGAGGATCTGTCGTGCTTTGTACATGAGCTGGTGAGCCACCTGCTCCAGGCCACACGGGAGCATGGTCAGGGCGCACCGTGGTCTTCTTTTTTTTTTCCTTTTTTAGAGGTTTTTGCTATAGGGCGCGCGCGCTCGCCAGACAGAGAGAGAGAGACATAGAGACAGAAAGTGAGAGATCAAC